ATAATTGTGACAATAATGGTGATGAAGATGACTATACGAATAAACTTTAGGCCTAGTGCTGTGGGACGTTTTCTATAGACCTATAAGAAGATATAAACAATGTATCATAATTTCTGTGTTTCATCATTTCTTGTACCTGTCTCTTATACACATCTAGATGTGTAATCTTCAGCTATATAATTTCTTTGCTACCATCAGAGAGAAAGAAAAATGTCCGTCATGTACAAAAGAGAGCACTAAATCTTCTCTTATAATAATAAACTAAGTTTAGTTTTGACCACTACGAATTGTACAGCATTTAAATGATTATCAGTGTCACTTTCTTCACACAAATTACAAAAAAAAGAAGGCGAGAGAAATTTAGGAGTAGAATACTAAGACCTAAATTTGGTTCAACCGTGGAAGTATTATTTTATATCTTCATGGTTCAACCTTTTTTTTAAATCGTCAATTAATTTTAGCCTACTTTATGAGCACGCATTTAACTGCTAGTGGGAAAATGAATTGTTGATTGTTGTCACTGTCGTGCACAAATGTGAAAATTGTAAAATCTCCATTGCATTGAATTTGAAAACTGTGCAATTATTCCTTTGCACAATTTTAAAATTCTGCAAGATTCTGCATAGTTTGCAAACTGTGCAAAGAGATTGTTGCACAGTTTTAAGAATCGTGCACATTTAAATCAATTTGTACATTTTGATACTATTTTACTATTATTCTTCTGTTGATGAACAGGCGCCGTGTGACCAGCGTGACAGGCTTTTCATTAGTGGGATTGCCAGGGTCATGTGGATATGCGTGGGTTGACAGGCTTTTTTACGGGTCTTTTTTTGGGTGGGGGGGGGGGGGGGGGGTGTGGTTATAATTATATTTATATTAAATTAAAAAAAGTAATCGCATGATGATGATTTACATTGTTTTAAGGTGTATCTATTCAATTTTCCAGTATAATGCAGGACGCCATCTTTTTTTCTGGGCTTTTGAAGTAGTGACGATTGGTGGTGCTATATTTTCAAAAAATCAATTTCCTGATTCGGCAATAAACTCATTAGTAGTTTCTTATTTTCGACAGAGGTTCACTGACAAACCCACACTCTTAGAAAAAAAAAGAGTTCTTCAGTTGTATTGTATATGGAACCCCTGTAGCACCTTTAAAGTTTCGAAAAAAAAAATAGGTTCGCTAAACTGCCCTTCGAACCATTTTAGGTTCGTTAAGGAGTTTTTATAAATAGTTACACAACACTTCGAAATGAAGAACCTTTTTACACTTAGTGTTTCATATCTGAAGAACCGTTATTGAGTGTGTAAGAGTGTATAATGACGAGTCAAATAGTTGAACACCACAAACTTGAATCCCCTTTTTATTATAATTCTGAAATATATATATTTAAGAAGTAAATAATGATTAGGCTATGATTACAAAACTAAACTGTATAGCTCTAGCCTAGGCCTTACTTCTTTTAAAAAATTGTCAGTCACGTAGTTGTACGAAATCAAATGTGTTTACTTGACGTAATTGCACAAGCACGGTATAAGTAAAGATAGGCCTATAATAATTATCATGACAAACAATGACAATAATTAATAATTGTGACAATAATGGTGATGAAGATGACTATACGAATAAACTTTAGGCCTAGTGCTGTGGGACGTTTTCTATAGACCTATAAGAAGATATAAACAATGTATCATAATTTCTGTGTTTCATCATTTCTTGTACTGTAGGTTTACTCTGTGTGCCTTCATGATTTCAGATACATTACCCTTGAAGCGACGATGACACTACAGTTACCATTTTATTAACAAGCTCAATGATAAAATGAGTATAACTTAAACACAATAAAAGTAAATACTAATTCGGATACACTAAAGACCACCTACATTCTTCTTCCTCTTGTTCTTCTTCTTCCTCTTCCTCTTCCTCTTCTTCTTCTTCTTCTTCTTCTTCTTCTTATTATTATTATTAGTATCATTATTATTATTATTATTATTAACATTCAAAAATATGACAATACTTTTGAGAACGATCATTTCAGGCAATGCCTGAAAACTTTATTAGGCCTAGCCATTGCTAGGCTTTACGCTACGTACATGTTTCGACAGATCCTACCTGTCATCATCAGTGTACAGAGATTCCATATAGGCAATCTTATTTAAACGAAGTGAAGTTTGTAATACGTCAATCTATACGTAATTCAACCGTATCAAGTTGTAAACACCAAGATCATGAATAAAAACAATGTATAATAATGGTAAACGGAATGAAGTAAAATCAGAATGACAAAGTTAAATTAACATGGTAAAGTTGTTTGTTGAGTGAAGGCTGCTCCCATTGAATATGTAATGCCTCCTTTATTTTGAGATGATGAATTGATGGGGCGGAGTCAAGAATACGGAAACAGTCCTTGCTACAAGTTTGCATACATTCGCGTGAATTCTTAAGGTGTTTTAATATGTGAGAGTTCCTATCCATTGCCAAGTGCTCGCGCACGCGTGTTGAGAAGTGTCGGCTAGTTTCTCCGACATAGCTGGCATTACAGTCCGCATACACAAATTTATATACAACACGAGAGCGGAGACCGGCAGGGACAGCATCCTTCACTGAAAACAAATTTTTTATTTTAAATGAAGAAAAAAACAACTTAAATTCAAAATCATTACATAATTGCTTAGAAAGGAAACGAATTTTATGCGAGGCAATGTTAGAAAAGGGGCCGATATATGGAATTTTTAAATAAAGGATGGTGATGGGTGTGGCATCTCCAATTGCCTCAGGTGGTTTTGAACGTTTATTTGGGGAGCATACAGAATCAAGATATTTCGAAATTATTTTATTGATAATGTGTAGCGGAAAGCTATTTTTCCTTAAGATGGATATTAAAGCTTTAATGTCTTCATGAAAACCCATCCAGCTATAATTAATTTTGAATGTCCTGTCAACTAGCGTCCGGACCAGTCCGAGTTTGTAATTGAATGAACAAAAACTAAAATAATTAGTGAGGAGCCCAGTAAATGTAGATTTCCGGAAGACAGAAGTAGATGCTAGCTTATGTTTTGATTTGGAAATTAACACATCCAGGAAAGGAAGTTTTTGTTCAACCTGTTTCTAAAAGGTAAACTTAATGTTAGGGTGACGTGAGTTTAGATATTCAAAAAATATAGAAACGTCCTCCTCATTGCAGAATAAACAAAAAATATCATCAACATAACGTCTATAAAATAAAACGCTGGGACCTTTATACTGTTTCAAGCCATACCTTTTCATGGTGTTCCAGGAATAGATTTGCCAGAACAGGGGCTAAAGGGGAACCCATGGACACCCCGTCAATCTGATCATAAACGGAACCTTTGAACAAAAAATGTGTTTGGGAAGTGGCAAAAATAAACAATTTCTTTAGTTCAGGCTTATTATTATTATTATTATTATTATTATTATTATTATTATTATTATTATTATTATTATTATTATTATTATTATTATTATTATTATTATTATAATAATAAATAATAACTATTATTATTTTATTGCTCTTATATGTATGTAGGCTTATATCCCTAGGCCTATGTTGATATGTAGGCTTAAACTTGTGATTATTATTATTATTATTATTATTATTATTATTATTATTATTATTATTATCATCAAATGGTATTATAATGATTAGTAATAATAATGATAGTTAATTATTATTATTATTATTATTATTATTATTATTATTATTATTATAAATAATAACTATTATTATTTTATTGCTCTTATATGTATGTAGGCTTATATCCCTAGGCCTATGTTGATATGTAGGCTTAAACTTGTGATTATTATTATTATTATTATTATTATTATTATTATTATTATTATTATTATTATTATTATTATTATTATTGTTATTATTATCATCATCATCACATGGTATTATAATTAATAGTAATAATAATGATAGTTAATTATTATTATTATTATTATTATTATTATTATTATTATTATTATTATTATTATTATTATTACTATACTACAACCATTATGTTACTGTATTACATGGTGGTGTGTATGCTTATACTTTTGCATTTACGTCAGTTAAACAAATTTCATTTCGTAGGCCTACAAGTTTTTATGTTGGTACAGTTGTAGACCTGTCACGCCAAAATTAGTCCGGGCCAAAACATGTCCGCCGGACTACTAAAATTGGTCCTCCAGGTTGATTTTAGCTGCTAATACCGTCCCGCTTAGATAAAATTGGTCCGCGTCGGTGTAACGCGCCGGTGTAACGCGTCTGCTGCTCGTAGGGTATGATTACTAACTATTTGATATCAAAAGCGTGATTTAGAATATACCTTTAGAATTCGAATATTCATCGGATCTATAATGAACAAAAGCACAAAGTGAAACTTACTCCACTCCCTGGCGAGTATTTCTAGTCATACTTGCAATTTAATGCCGATACAGACTAACACATTCAATCACATCATCCTTTCAAAGACAAACGTAGGTAAACTGCCTTGTCCAAGGACACAAGTGAAATGCACAACGAACCCCCGCGCCCGAGGTTGAAAAACCGAAGCGCAACAAATGTGCCAAACGCTAACCAACAATAAAATAAAATAGATAAAATAAAAATGTTTTCGCAATTTTTTAGACTAAAAAGTTTATATTCGAAGAAATATTATAGTATTTAATGAAATAGTGCAAAAAAAAAACAACAAACAAAAAACAAAAAAAAAAAAAAACAAAAAAAAACAAAAAAAAAAACCCAAGAAACCTAACACTTTATTAAATTCATTAAAATAAAAGATATGAAACTCGTCCGTTTTTGAGCTGGAGTAAAGAGTTGAGAACTCGGAAATAATGTATGTTTTTTTTTCTTTACTTATCTGGGTATTCCGCAACAGACTTTTACAGAGTTTATTTTTTTTATTTTTTTTTATAGTGAAGCTCAAAGAGGGGTTTGCATTGTATAATAAGCTAAAATAAATATTATATTGCTTTTTGTTCACTCACGTAGCCATTGGATTTTCCTGATCATGCTGGATTGTCACTTGGTAGGGGAAATGATTCTACAATCATATTGATTGAGATGCATTATGACAACCCAGGGCATTCAGCAGGTAGGCGTATATTATTATTAAATTATCTTTCCTGTCTAAAAGTATCAGATGGTCTAGTTGTCAAACGTCTTGTCTGTCATTGAAAAACAATAATAATTATATAAAATATAAATACAGATATTAACCTTAATCAATATTCAGGCTGTGATTATTATGATTTCATCACATTTTTAGCTAATTCTAATTCACAGATTTTCATGACAATTCTGGAGTAAGGGTTTATTACACACCCACACTACGTCAGTACGAAGCGGAGGTATGGATGATTGGCGAGGAAGTATCACCTCTTCAAAGCATTCCACCAAATGAAAAGGCATTCAAAACATTTGGATTTTGTTTCGGAGATTGCACAAAACAAGTATGTTTTCTCATATGATAATTTTTCATTAATTAAAAAAGATTGATTAAATACCATACTTTCAAACTTTGCAGACCTAAGAAAATGTATATTGTGAATATTTCAAATATACGACATTTGCAAAATAATATGGAAAAATCAACGATATTGTCTGAGATAAGCTAAAAAAATGAAATAAAAAATAAATATTTGAACTTTGTTAGTATGTCCTATAGAAAATTGAGCCATAACAATTTAGAATAAAAAGTAAACACTCTAATTTCCATCTGACATTTTTTCAAAGCTTATTTATAATCTGAAATATACAATTTAAATAAACTTTTGAAATTTTTATTTTTTCAAAATATTTAGTGTCATTGCCTAAATATATTTTTCCATCACAGTAATCCAGGTGTTTGGTAATATCTAATGTTGTAATATTTACAACTCGTGTAGGCCTATGAACATGTTAATTGTACTGTAGTTTATATAACTCATTCAGCAGTTGGACAAAACTAAGTTATATTTGTAGGTTTTGGAAGAAGACATAAAGATAATTGCAGTAGGTTTGCATGGTCACCTTGCAGGTATGCAAAAAGTTTTCCTACAACATGAACTCTTTTCCATTTCATTTAAGATTTAACATATCCGCTAACATATATAAAACATCAACAAGCTTGTATTTTCAGGTCTGTCCTAGTGGCATGACCATTGCACTTCTCTATGGCTTGCTTTATGAACATTTCAATATCATCAGTTTTTCCAGAACACAGTTGTAATGTTTGCAACATTCACAAAGTAGCGATAACTTAGGCCCTATAATATGCTTATTACATAAAAAGTACTCGAGGATCTGTTTAGTTTTATTCTTAAAGATATATATATATATATATATATATATACATATAATATGTATGTATATATATGTACATGTTATTATATACAATAGATTTTGTTTAGTTTTATTCAAATCCAACTGTTCTTCTTTCGATATAGCTACAAAAATTAGTCTTCAACATTATCGTAATGGAAGTTTGATCGACGATTTGGCACGTGATGACAACTATGACTTCAACCTTCAAGAATTTCGATATTTTGAAACCGAAAAAGTTTTCAAACCGGTAATACAGACAAATTTAGTGACAGTTGCAATCAATCAAAATCCTATTGCCAAAAAATGTGTAATAGCCTGTACTGCACAGCGTGTCCAAGATGATTTTTTCGTAACATGACTTCGCTTCACCTTATTTACATGAACTTCACTGGCTTCCATTCGAAAAGCATTCACTTTCAAAATCATGGTTTTCGTTTTGAATACATCACTCATATTCCTTAGCTTTAATAAATATGCGGGAGTATCGGAAAGCAAAATTAGATCTAGAAAGACAAAAATAGTAGTGTCTATGCAAAATCGTGTTTTTTGTTTTTTTTTTTTTGTTCGTAGGGTGATGAATTTGTAGTGACATGTGTATATAAGACAGTGGGCAGAGAAAATATTACAGTCGTAAGTAGATGAAATTTCCCCGAATTCTTTTTCTATCAAGATACGTGTCGGTCTTAAGACGAATTTATCTGTGACCGTCTTTTTGTCGTCTGTGATCTTGTGTTCTCTGTGCTATGTAGATCCAGGCCAAAGACCAAACCTCGTCAGAGAATAGACCATTCCAGAGTGTCAATCAAGTTAACAACTGACCAATCAGAACAGGGCCACGCATACATGCGTGTCTCAAAAACACAATTGTTGTCCAACAACAAACATACGAGGTTTTTTTTTTGTTTCGTGGGACCTTACCAACACCCAAGGGAGTGGAGGTTAGCGAAAAGGTTCGTTCAGACGACCACAAGTTAGTGCAACTTCGTCGCACGCACAGATGACGCTATGAAAACATAATTTGCCTATCTAAATCTCGTTATTTTGATTGCCAATCCCTTATTAGGTACGTTCACATAAGCTATCGTGATAAACTTATCATGATCTATTCATCATGATAACTTTAGCATGTTAGAGAAAACCGTTCATATAGAAACCATCATCATGATCTATTTATGCTAATGCGTGCAGTGTTGAGATGTGTATAAGAGACAGTACATACATTATTTTCTCCCCGACGA